ACAGACCCATAAAGACATAAGCTCTTGATGCACATATCCACTGGGATGTGTATCGAAATTTGTTGGAGGGTTTGATCCAAGGATTCCTTGTTCAAGCCATTCTTAATAAAAGCTATTTCATCTTCTCGATTTATGGACACAAACCCCAGCGATTTGCATCGGATATCGCAATTCGATCGAGCACATTTATAGCAGCCACCTATTCGTTTGGCTCTACGTTTCTTTCCAAGAGCACTTCTACCCATACTGGACAGATATTTATAAGAATTTGGGAATTCTCCAGAGAGTCGGACGTTTGCTTCAATAAACCATCGGATATCATTTGGAATATTGTGGATCATTAGCACTCTCAATCTTTCCACTCGAGATCGATAAATCCTTTTTATGATATTTAAAGGAAGAAAGGAATATGATTTGCGAATATTTGAAAGTGCCGAATCCATTTGTTGTTTCGGACCATTGTTGAAGAAGACCGAAGGATTAGCGAGCCGCTTTATAGAAGATCGAAGCGTAAAAGGTATGTTTCTGGAGATAGAGTTTGGCATTATTATATTCCTAATTTCAGAACATGCAGCCAGTATGCAATTAATGCAGCAGAAATCTGATATGAGATGTCAGCAATAATTAAAGAATGAATTATTGTGAAATTGAGTTTTGTTGATCAGCATTATTGAGGACAGAATAATTCACCTCGATAGGTGAAATGTGGTATGATCAGTAATTGGGTAATTTATGCAGTGCAGTAATTTCCAATCAGTTTTATTTGTGAAATATTGGATATATTAAAGTCAGAGGAATATAAGTGATGATAGTAGTTTTTGATCAGAAGGTTTCCCGACGCAGAGGCAAGTTCAGTACAGTTGGTGATGCTAACGTATATGTAGGTGATATTGACATTGTAGGTACATGCATGTAAATGTTCCGCACCCGAAGGGCCCCGGGTAGTGGGTACATCACATGCAAAGTGCCACATAGTCATGTTTAGAGTCATAAGGGACAAGTCCAAAAGTATTTGGCTTTATGATAATGGAAGTTGATCGAGGAAATAGTCAAGTATGTAGCAAGACGTCTCATAATTGGTAGAAATTTTTACTTAGACATGGATAAAGTCTTTTAGATAGTTCGACTAATGAGAAGTGTCATTTGGTAAGTTGCATTCTTTTTGTATAAG